GCCGAGCACCACCACCACCACCACCACCACGCACACCCGCACCCGCCGCACCCGCACCACGCGCAGGGCCCCCCGCACCATGGCGGTGCCGGCGGGGCCGGGCCCGGACTCAACAGCCACGACCCGCACTCGGACGAGGACACGCCAACCTCAGACGACCTGGAGCAGTTTGCCAAGCAGTTCAAACAGCGGCGCATCAAGCTGGGCTTCACGCAGGCCGACGTGGGGCTGGCGCTGGGCACGCTGTATGGCAACGTGTTCTCGCAGACCACCATCTGCCGCTTCGAGGCCCTGCAGCTGAGCTTCAAGAACATGTGCAAGCTCAAGCCGCTGCTGAACAAGTGGCTGGAGGAGGCGGACTCGAGCACCGGCAGCCCCACGAGCATCGACAAGATCGCGGCGCAGGGCCGCAAGCGCAAGAAGCGGACCTCCATCGAGGTGAGCGTCAAGGGCGCGCTCGAGAGCCATTTCCTCAAGTGCCCCAAGCCCTCGGCGCAGGAGATCACCAACCTAGCCGATAGCCTGCAGCTGGAGAAGGAGGTGGTGCGGGTCTGGTTCTGCAACCGACGCCAAAAGGAGAAGCGCATGACACCGCCCGGGATCCAACAGCAGACGCCCGAGGACGTGTATTCGCAGGTCGGCACCGTGAGCGCCGACACGCCGCCGCCCCACCACGGCCTGCAGACAAGCGTACAGTGAAGGCGAGGGGCGCAGAGAGACCGAGGGCCGCCGCCGCCAACGCTACCGCCTCTGCCTCTGCAGCTGCCGCCACCGCCGCCACCGCCTCCGCCTCCGCACGGATCACTGACGGGGGCTGCCACCGAGTTGGGGCCCCCTCTGCCGCCCTCCTTTCCGCCCAAAGACAGGCAGGCCCACCTTGGAGGGAACAAAAGCGAGACACAGACGGACCAAGGAGACATTTTTTTCTTTCCTCTTTTTTTTTTTAATTTTTAAATACAAGGAAGGGGAGGGGGCAAAAAAAATATAAAAGCATAATAAATATACGAACTGTTTTATATATATATACACACACACACGACAGCGAAAGAAAACCGGAAGAGAAGATGGGGGTGATCACCAGGTCTCTTATACTGTGGTGGTGTTTGTTTCATTTTTGGTTTTGGTTTTTATTTCGAAGGAGGGTGAAGAAAAGAAACACACCAGAACTGCACTTCTGAGCTGCTTTTCTTTCTTTCTTTCTTTTTTTTTTTTTTAGTTGGTTCCCCCTCCCGTCCACCTTGAGTTGTCTTGTAAGGCAGTAGTGGACAGCACCTGCCTTGTCCTCGTGTCTTTAAAGAAAAGGGGGAAAGAAAAAAGTCCTCCCGTGCGCTCCCTCCCTCCCAAGGGCTGTCTAGAGTGATTCACCGGGAAACTTTGTTTCCGGAACGACCTGAAAAGTAAGCAGAGGCACCGGGTTGGTGCAGGAGATGGCTCGAGATGCTCCAGGACCCTGTTGGTTTTTGTTGTTGGGTTTTTTTTTCCCCTTGTCCTTATGAAAGTCACTTGGGGACAAGCAGAAATCGACTGTGAAGTGGGAAGGAGGGGGTGGGGGAAAGTCTCCAGGAAAAAAAGAGGGAAAAAGTATTCACAGCTTCTGAAATTAACAGACTGAATAGCAAAGCCAAAAGGAAAAGAAGTATCCGGAAAGAAACCGTGGAAATGGAAGCTTCCCTGAAGAGCAGAGGCACGGGGGGGACAGCATCCAGCGGAGAGTGGCGAGAGGCCCCGGGCCCAGTGGAGGACCAGGCTGGCTTGGACTAGGCGTGAGGCAAGGGCCCAGCCAGCGAGGCCACCGAGTGAGTCCCAGCCATCAAACCCTGGTGGTGATGGCTGCCCCTCGGGGTGGACGATGCCTAAAGAATAAAATTCCACCGCTAATATTTTTTTTAATAATATTTTTTATTTTTTATTTCTGGACGGAATCAGATAAAGGGATTTAGAAAGATGAGCACCTGCCGCTGCACTTCTCTGAACTTCTCTCCTCAATCCGTTGCCAACTTTGAATGGGTGCTGTGGATGTGATTATATAATACTGCCATTTCCAAGCAGTGTTTTTGGTAGGTTTTAATAAACAGACTTTTCAAAAAGACGGCAATATAGAATTGTTAGATCCGTTGTTGATCTAAAAAATATTTGCTTTATATTTTCATTAAATGACTTCTTTTAATATTTTATTCAGAATACTTATGAACTGCTGCAAAACGGTAATTTATTTTTCCCCAGATCTTGTATTACGTGTTTTTTTCAGACGAGCACAAATCAAAATGAAATGAAAATATGGACAGTTGTTAGGTAATAAGGGTATCTTTTGATGTGATAATTTGATTGTAATTTAATTTGAGTAGTGATTCCGTAAGAGCTGATCGAGAAAATAAATTTGTTAGAATGAAATAGTCTGTGTCTGATGCGTAAACACTGTGTGGGAAGAAAAAGAATCCTTTAGGAAATATTTTTTATTAATGCAAATCCTTAAGTGATAGCACTGAGAAAGTAGAACTTGCTCCTCTGAAGGGAACAGAAACTGCTAGGATTTTAACATAGTCGCCACTCCTTGTTAATCCTTAAATTTTGAAATATTTTCCTCTCTTTTAATTTTTAGTGGGTGTCTTAGTGGGTAGGTGAAATTGCCTAGATACTAGCCCTTTTCTTAGAGATGCTTGGTAATTCTTCACCAGAACATGTCACAGTAAAAAAAAAGTGCCAAATGGTTAATAACACCCCCTCCCAAAGCTTTGCTTTCTCCTCCCTATATTTCTATGTCTTGTTCTTGTATTTCTGAAGACATAGGTGTGAAGGATAACTTTCAAGACTATAAAATATTTTAATGTCACTTATGTCCCATTGGTAACTCTGTAATTAAATTATTAAGGGTTATTTTTTTTACTTTACTCCCCCTGTAAGGAAAGCATATACTGACTATAGTCCAAATGCATTACTTTCTGTGTGATTATCAACTTACAGTTCTACGTTTCTGTGTTAAAGTCTTCCCTCAGTGATGATTGGACATGTTCTTTATTGCTGCTGGGGGCTTTATTTATTTTTTTTTAGATCACTCTTTAGATATACTTTTCAAGAGTGGTCACATTTATCAAGTTAATGTATCAATATTTACAGTGTGGAGAAAATGGAAGTGTAATGCCTAAGTTGTGAGTGCTGAAGACGAAAAATTTCATCTGCCTAGCTGAGTTTCCTCAGTATTGTATTTTTCGTTGAAAAAAAAAAATTTAGGATTGATAAAGCAATGTTTCTTTAGATCTCATTTTCCCCACTCTCACTTGCTGTCCTTCCCTTTTTTGCCGCCTTCTTCATTTTCACTACCTTTCCCAGCGATATCTAAGCAGGGATTCCAAACCCTGGGGAACTGAGACAAGGGACAGTTACCTCTTCCAGACTGGTCCTGTGTCACTTTCATAAATCAAGCCCAGCCAGATGGCTGTGTATGGGGTTGCATTATTTTAAACACCAAATTGTACTAAAAATCACAATCATTTTGATTTGTGAAATCTGAAAAAGGTCATCTAATAAGCAGGAGGTATATGGGGGGATTGAAGACAAGAAACCCCTATTCTCTTTGCTTTCTAATTTCACATTTCTCATGACTCCAGAATTGCTTTGTCCAGTGAATTTACAATCTAGAGTAAGGGTAGGGGGCAAAGTTCATTTTTTAAGGGTCTACAGGAGCAAGCAAAGAAAGCCTTACTGGGTAGCTGAGGGTGGGTGGGGTTGTGTTTATGTGGTGGATATGATTGGCGATTGGCACGTGAGATGGAATCCTGCTTTACCTACCGGAATGGTGGTGGTTGATTAGAGAAGGAATGGCCCATTTAAAATTTTTGGAGGAATATGCTTACTTGATTTGACTAACAACAGAAGAGCTAACATTAGATTTCACACTGTTTTCTATTAAAAAGCAACTCTTGCTGATTACTTAGAGATTAGCCCCTGATTTGAGGGTAGCAGAGTAACTTTTAATTGGAGGAACTGGGAAAGCATACCCATTTTGTTTCATTAGTTTGCATTTTATAAAGTGAGCTAATGCTTTCTTTCACTCCATTTAATAAAAAAAAAAAACCCCAACAAAACAAAACTCAACCTTTTGAATGTATTTACAAAATTATATTCATGGTTGAAAAACAAAAGAGAGCAGATAAAACTGAGAGGGTTTGTGCTAAGGCTTATATTGTTACACATGTAAATAATGAAAATATTGTTATATATCACCAGATCTTTTTAATGAATTTGGTCATTGTGTTCCTTTGCAGCACAAGTGTCTTGTGCTTCGTAAAATGTCCATTTGTTTCCTCCATTTCAATCCACCGCCACCCCTCCCCTTCTAACCCAAACGAAAGTGACAAAGTTCTGTTCCATCAGTCTAGCTATCCCAAGCTAGGCTCATTTATAGCTTACAGACTCCTGTAAGCTCATGCAGTTGTCCAAACCTCAGTTGCCTCATTTACCAAAACATCCTTTCCTGTCAAGTTCCTGGGATAAATCACTCAAGGTGTATTTAAAATAGTCATTTTGCTGTTGTTGCTCTGCTCTCCACACACACACACACACACACACACACACTTAGCCAAGGACTACTTCTTTGTTCCAAAATAGAATTGTTCATTATTGATCTTAGAGATTCCCTCTGCCTCCCTGTAGCCTCCAGTGTTTGCTCATTGCCATGCTCATAATCTGTTTTTGTATGAACGGTTTTTTCAACATTCAGAGAATAATTGGTTCTAATATTAAATGCAGTATATACTATTGATAGTTTTATTGATAAGTGTAATATTTTAAATAATTTTAACAATTAAATTTGTTTTTTAAATTATATATTTGTAAAGTATTTATCCTGTTGGAAACAACAATATATTGTTGTATTTATTCGTTTATTTTTGTAATAAATGATCAACCTCTTCAAGTTACAGCAAAAATGCTATTTTTATATATTTATACAAAATGCATTTTAAGAAATGGGCATGTTTGCACCAATCTGTATGTAAACAGAATAAGAGCCATCAATAACTTGTAGCTTTCAAGACTAAATTGAAGGAAGAAACATTCTATCCACATGGAGTTTAGTTTGCCCAAGTTCCAGGGTAATTAATCAAACTCTAAAAGGGATGCAACAAGTATTGGCACTGGATGCAGACTTGAAATTAATTATTTAGGAGGTGGGCCTGTTTCCTCCCCCCCACCCCCACCCGCAGGAAGATAGAAATTAAAGAATCATTTCTTTCATGAAATGCATGTGGCTGGTTGCAAAGATTAGAACAGATGCTATTTATCAGTTTGAAAATCTAATACCTGCCTCTCCTCAGGAGTCTTTGCTGGTTTTGGAAGAGAGTTAACAGTTTGAGGTTATGAGTGACCCAGAACCAAAGTGATGTAGAACAAGGAGTTGTGTTCTGTTTAAACAGCAAAAAGTTAGAATCTTTTAGAATGTTTGTAAAAGAAGAGCCCGTGTCTCCTAGCCCTGCTACTGAGAGCACAAGTGATCAGTACAGATGTGGTGATGGTGATGGTCTTTTGGAGCCATGCCTGTGAGGGGTGTGGTGGCCCCCTCTCAGGCCCCCAGAGTTCTGTGGATCACTCAGCGGTCTCAGATCCCCAGGCCGCTGTTCTGAGCGGCTGAAGGTCACCACGTGACCTCCCGCTGCTGGAGCCCTGCGGTGGGCTTGATCTTGATTTCAATGAGGAAATCAGGG